AGCATCCGTTGTAATAATCTTCGAATTTCTTAGAGGAAGGATTGTTAATTCTCATTAATATTTGACGAGTATTTATTACATCTTCTTTTCGGTGGTTACCTTTTATTAGTAGCATCCGATGTAATAGTCTTTGAATTTCTTAGAGGAAGGATTGTTAATTCTCATTAATATTTGACGAGTATTTATTAGATCTTCTTTTCGGTGGTTACCTTTTATTAGTAGCATCCGTTGTAATAATCTTCGAATTTCTTAGAGGAAGGATTGTTAATTCTCATTAATATTTGACGAGTATTTATTACATCTTCTTTTCGGTGGTTACCTTTTATTAGTAGCATCCGATGTAATAATCTTCGAATTTCTTAGAGGAAGGATTGTTAATTCTCATTAATATTTGACGAATATTTATTACATCTTCTTTTCGGTCGTTTCCTTTTATTAGTAGCATCCGATGTAATAATCTTCGAATTTCTTAGAGGAAGGATTGTTAATTCTCATTAATATTTGACGAGTATTTATTACATCTTCTTTTCGGTGGTTACCTTTTATTAGTAGCATCCGATGTAATAGTCTTTGAATTTCTTAGAGGAAGGATTGTTAATTCTCATTAATATTTGACGAGTATTTATTACATCTTCTTTTCGGTGGTTACCTTTTGTTAGTAGCATCCGTTGTAATAATCTTCGAATTTCTTAGAGGAAGGATTGTTAATTCTCATTAATATTTGACGAGTATTTATTACATCTTCTTTTCGGTGGTTAGCTTTTATTAGTAGCATCCGATGTAATAATCTTCGAATTTCTTAGAGGAAGGATTGTTAATTCTCATTAATATTTGACGAGTATTTATTACATCTTCTTTTCGGTGGTTACCTTTTATTAGTAGCATCCGATGTAATAATCTTCGAATTTCTTAGAGGAATGATTGTTAATTCTCATTAATATTTGACGAGTATTTATTACATCTTCTTTTCGGTGGTTACCTTTTATTAGTAGCATCCGATGTAATAATCTTCGAATTTCTTAAAAATTATTATTATTATTTTTGACTGGTAATTTTTCATTCCTAATACTAAGGTGCCCTGACACACAGACTGTCGTGTCATGTGCTATAACCTTTTGTACGTGCTCATGACTCTCCACGACTTCCTATCTTTTGTTGCGCTAACTCGTTTAGCATCCCTCTTTGTCTTTTTAATTCTTGTTCTGTCATCGACTTAGGCAAGCCCAAGTTTGCCTTCAAAATATCATGTGAGTATTGAATTCGACAACCCTTCTTTTCTTATCGTGTATCCGAATATAATAATGACAGTTTAACGTCTATAATAGATCGGACACATATAAGCAATTATATCATTTTGTATTTGTTACCTGATTAACAAATAACAGTTAATGAGGCTGGCGCCAAACTCGTTCAGGAATATCTAAACTGTCAGCTGTATACAAGCGCTTTCTCAGATCAATGGTTAAAAAAAAGGCTTCAAGCATGTAGATCTTAGCGAGGACCATTCATCTTCGAACCCCGTAGACTGGCGCTATACAATCACAAACAATTAATCGTACCCAATATCTGGTTACGGCCTTATACCGTATATACTCACGGATAGGTCGCCCCACCGGATAGGTCGCACCTCTACTTTATGGCTTAATAATTGATGATTTACTGTTGACTCACAGATAGGCCACACTATAATCTGGGGACTTACACAGCCCGTTTTAAACGTAAGAATTATCAGAGATTTACCTTAACAATTAACAATTAAAATTCTAAACTATAAATTTTGCTACTAACTATATCGCTGCGCAATGCAAAATAGTGCAAACGTTTTGGGTGCTAGATTCACTCGCTTTGTTATTTGTAAATAACACTTAAAAACGCCTTTTAATGTTATATGAGACAACTATTAAAGAAAATTCTCTCATAAAGAATATATTTCATTTCTTTAAGTCATATTTTCCAACGTATTTTTGACAATATTTATATATATATATATATATATATATATATATATATATATATATATATTGCAGAATGAATCGTGGGACTATTTTTTTCTTTGTTAATAAACATCTACACGTGGTTTCTTAACTTATGCATACATGTTCAGGGTTTTAGTCTAGTGCGAGGGCCCTGACTGAACGGTGACTGATGGATCAATGAATATTTTATAATTTTATTTATTTATTGTGATGGATATGTGAATCTAGCAGCATGAGGTAAGTTTAAAGCAGTGAGTCAGTATATATCTCTATCTATAAAAGGCAGGATGTGTGTGTGTGTGTGTGTAACGAATGCACGGCTGCAATTTTCGACGGATTTGTACCAAAATTTACATGCACATGCTCCAAGTTAGCAAGAAGGCCAAGACCGACTTTGCATTTCCCAACTCCCATCGATAGTGGAAATAATCGATTTTTCATGCTTCTACGGCACTTTTCATGTAGTTTGCGGCCATTTTCTACTGGTCAGAGTGAGAGCCAATAGCTGGTTACCACGAATAGCCAGGAAGATTCTATTGGCCAGCGTGAGAGCCAACAGCTGACTGACACGAATGTTAACTAGCATGCTAGCATGCAAAAAAAAAAAAAAATCGATAGCTGCATTCGTCACAAGTGGGAAAAATTTAAATCTGCATGGCACTTTACTCCAATTGGCTCATTCGCTTGCTTAAACTCAACGTTGATTCCGCAGAACTTAAAGTATTTGTTGTTAACATTATTTTTTCATTCGGTTTTTCCAGTTACGAGTTCTTTTTTAAAGCTGATCGTTTTGTGTTCATTTTGTTTAGTTCTTTTTTCGTAACAGATTTAATGTTTAGTATAGAGCTTAGAAAAAATTAGCATTGTGAGATAGGCAAGAAGTAAGGCATGTAGCAACATCAGCACGGCAAAGGGCACTCCTTTAAAGGCAAGGAAGGGCAAAAATATTTTAAGTCAAGTGATAGTGATTGCTGTACGAGTCGTACGATTTTTGAATCAAGCACGGGCAACGCCAGTGATAGATAAATTGTTTCTATACAGAGAAAAGCCATAGCTTTAGTGTTTATAGGTATCATTTTTGATTTCTTAGATATCATCATGACAGGGTAGTGTTGTTTTACATATAAGTCGAGCAGATAGGTCGCACCCCTAATATTTTGCAGAATTTTTGGTAAAAAAATTGCGACCTACCCGTCAGTAAATACGGTGCATTGAATAAATAGGTTTGGTTTGTTTTGTTTCACGGCATATCAGCCTCAATGGGTTATTTAATGCCGACAATTATTTTTTCCTGGCAATATTTTGTTTTGTCTAAAATCTATTTCTGGTAATATTTTTTTTCTTCAAAAATTTATTGCTGGTAATAATTTTTTTACAAAGTATTGCTGGTATTAAAACCTATTTTTACACTTTCATAGTGTTTTTACCCCTGTTTTGGGGTTAACTATTTACCTATAGCTGGGACCCTAACAGGTGCTACCACCCGGGTCAGGATGAACCTGGGAACACCAGCAATTAAGAGGTGGTTCCACGCTCCTCAAAACCTCCTGATCAGAGGCCTTGCTGTTGGACGTAGTTTATCGTCATATCCGGGACGTTGAATAAATAGTTCTCGTACGATCACCGAAGGTAAGCAACGTCAAGCATGGTCAATACATAGGTGGGTGACTGCTTGGGAATACTAGGTAGTGTAAGCTTGGATATATCGGAGAGCCGAGTTCCAATTCCAGTCGGGTTCCTTATATACACTTACCTGCAAATACCCGTGGGAAAGGTATGATTCCATCTCCTCTTCTACCCCACAGCTATGGGTTAACTAGTAAGACTTGTGTCAGTAATTCATTATTATCTTTAAAAAAAAAATTTACGAACTAAAAATAATTTCTGGCCTTAAATAAACTACAAAAGGTTGATGAACCGTAAAAACAACGATTCAATCACTCAATCTTAATAAAGAATGGCAAAACATTAAATATCTGCAGGGCATTATTTTGCTTTGCACTGATTAATAAATAGATAATTAATAATTTAATTATTCTTAATAATAATGGCTTACGGCCATATATCGTTGAAACATTGGTTCCTCTACGATCGCTGAAGTAAAGCAACGTCGAGGTTAGTCTGTACCTAGATAGGTGACCACTTTGGAATACCAGGTACTTTAAGATTGAATATGCGGGTGGTGCCCTGAATAAAGGCACGGAATTGTAAATCGGAGAGCCGAGTTCCAATTCCAGTTGGGTTCGTTATATTCACTTACGCACAAATACACTTGGGAAAGGCATGAATCCATTTCATCTCCCACCTCGGCTAAGCGTTAATTAGTAGGATTTGTATCAATAAATCCTTATTATCCCCCCGTCAAAGTCTAACGCTATGAAAATATTTTCAGGCTTTAAATAACCTGCAGAAGGTTGATAAACCGTGAAAAATCAAACCATTCAATCAGGTATCCAATAACAGAAAACAACAATTAAAATGGATGCCACATCCATATGAGGAAATAATAACATAACCAAGATGTTGACATTCCACATTACTTCAAACAAAAGGTTTGGAAGGAAATTACCCATCAATACTGGAAAGAGCAATAACAGCTACTAGACTTGAGAAGAGAAAATAATGACATAATCAAGATGTTGACTTTTCACACTACTTCAAATAAAAGGTTTGGAAGGAAACTCACATAATACTGGAAAGACTTCTTTCTCGTCTCGTCGACAGAACGGCTGCCACTACTAGCTTTGTTTACATACTTTGCCTCGAGAAGTCATAGGCGGAAGCTTTACCTGTCTTGATTACTGCGCAATGCGCAAAGTTTAAAATGAATGCTCGATTCCAAATATTGCAGGAAAAATGAAAGAAAACGAAAAATAAAATCAAAATTGAGTGCCTGAAAGGATAAAAAAAAAATGAAATTTTCCTTTTCTTTTCAATGATTGTTTTTTTTTTGTGTCGTGAAAGTTTCCTTAAAATCCGACAATTAAAAAAAAAAAAAAAATTACGTAAAAGGTAAAAAGAATAATGTTTTCCATTTTTCAACGATGTCTTTTTTGGAAAAAGGGTTCACTCTTGACATTATATTTATTTATAAAAGTTTCAATTGTTTCTATAACAAATTTAAACCAATTTAATAAAAAAAGAATTCATTATTTAATAAAGATTTATTTCTACAAGGAAACAATAATTTTAATTGGAAAAAGTAATTTATACCAATTAAATAAAAACTATTTATTTAAAGCATCTTTTTTTTTTTTTTTAAAGAAAGCGCATTTTAAAATAACTTTCGCGAAAATTGCGCAGTAATCAAGACGAGTAAGAAGATGCGAAAAGCAGTAAAAAGGCTGTTAGCTAAATAAGCTTCCGCGCATTACTAATCGAGGCAAACGTATGTAAACAACACCAGAAATGGCGGTTAGACAAGGCGAAAGATATCGAACTTACATTGTCGATAAATCTTAAACTGTAATTGAGCACAAACTTTTAATGTCATATTCGAAATAATCAGGTAATTTCACACCATAATGGAACATTTTCATTACCGTGGACTTTTGGTGTCTATACTGCAAATTAACCACAATTTTTGTTGTGTATGCAATTTATTTCTAGGAAAAGAAACCCTGAAACTTTCCTTTTGTTATTTTTGTTAAATAAATGTTACATTGCATTGCAAATCAATCGATCTCTGTTCTTTTCTGTATATGCCTATTCACCACCATTAAGTCATGTAAAATATTCTCGTTGAGAGATTATACATTAATTATAGAAGTCGTCAATACACGAAACCACTTTAAACTGACCTTTTATCACATTTGGTGGCGACTTGGGAATACTAAAAAAATCCACTTTATAAACTTAACTTTGAAGACTTGTAGACCGCCAACATATTGATTATATTATCTTTCTCTTCAAGTAATATCCATTTTAATTGTTGCCGCTGTAATAATCTTCAAGTGATGTTTCTTTTATTCGGTACAGTCTTTGGCATCTGATTCTGTCCACAAGATTCAAAGAGGGTTGTTTCTTGCTAGGTTCTTCAATGGTAATCAAAATATTAGCCGTTTCCTTATAAGGAAACATTCGGCATTCAGTGTCTGTGTTACCATAGGTTGACATTTATGAAATCCTTTTCTTAAAACTATTTTTTAGGAAAATAGATTTCTCAAGTCCAGTCAAGTCTCTTAGTGATAGGAGTTTCCTTCCAAACCTTTTGTTTGAAGTAGTGTGGAATATCAACATCTTGATTATGTCATTATTTTCTCTTCTCAAGCCCAGTAGCTGTTATCGCTCTTTCCATTATTGATGGAGAGTTTCTTTCCAAACCTTTTGTTTGAAGTAGTGTGGGATGTCGACATCTAGATTATGTTAATATTTTCTCTTTAAGTGATATATCATATATACTCGTGTATAAACCGATTCCATGTATAGTGTGATCCCTGAATTTGTTGAAAGAATTATCCCTACCACCGAAAGAAAATCCTGTGTATAATGCTATCGGTCACCGAAAATACATGGTTTTAACCTGTTCACAACCATTAACTGTGTATAGTACAAACACCCTATTTTTTCCGTAAGAACTAAGCATAAACTCGTACTATACATTTCATTTGCTGCTGTTGAAAATGCTCAAATAATTTTTCTGTTTTTTTAGTGCAGTTCTTTGTTTGTGATTCTGTAGCGCCAGTCTACGCGGTTTCTAAGTATGATGTTCCTCGCTAAGTTCTTTCATGGTAAAGTTAATATTAGCCGTCTCCTTATAAGGAAACATTTGGCATTCAGTGTCCAAGTTATCAGTGTTACGTTCGGTTGGAATTTAGAAAAACTTTCTGATAAAATGATTTTCTTGAGAAAATAGGTTTATTAAGTTCACTAAGTGTTATTGCTCTTTCCAGTATTGATGGCGGTTTCCTTCCTAACCTTTTGTTTGAATTAATGTGGAATATCAACATCTTGATTGTGCCTTTATTTTCTGTTCGAGTTACATGTGTTAATTATTTTAGTTTTTGATGTTGATGAAAGTTAACAAATGATTTAGTTTCTGTTATTTGGTACAGTTCTTTGTGATTTTGATAGCTGACTGGCTATAACTCTTACTGTTACTCTAAAGTCACCTTCTACTACTTCTGTTCGGCTGAAAGTCAGTGTGTAGTGATTTGACGTTTATCTTTAAACCTAATTCTCTCCTCTATCACAGTTTTCTCCCTCTTTTTTGCCTTTCTTTCATTCTTTTTTCTTTATATTTGTTTGTTTGTTTGTTTGTTTGTTTGTTTCTTTCTTTCTTTCTTATTCATCTTTTCTTTCTTTCTTTCTTTCTTTCTTTCTTTCTTATTCATTTTTCTTTATTCTTTTTTTAACTTTTTCATTCATTTTACTCTTTTTTCTTTCTTTTACTTTGTTTTTTCTTTCTGTTCCTTTTTCTTTTCTTTCTTTTTCTTTCTTTCTTATTCTTTTTTCTTTCTTTTCCTTTACCTTTTCTTTCTTTTTCTTTTTTCTTCTTTCTTTCTTTCTTTCTCATTCATTTTACTTTCTTTTTCTTTCTTTCTTTCTTATTCTTTTTTCTTTCTTTTCCTTTACCGTTTCTTTCTTTTTCTTTTTTCTTCTTTCTTCCTTTCTTTCTTTCTCATTCATTTTACTTTTTTTCTTTCTTTCTTTCTTTCTTTCTTTCTTTCTTTCTTTCTTTCTTTCTTTCTTTCTTTCTTATTCTTTTTCTTTCTTTTCCTTTACCTTTTCTTTCTTTTTCTTTTTTTTTCTTTCTTTCTTTATTTCTTTCTTTCGTTCTTTCTTTCTCATTCATTTTACTTTCTTTTTCTTTCTTTCTTTCTTTCTTTCTTTCTTTCTTTCTTTCTTATTCTTTTTTCTTTCTTTTCCTTTACCTTTTCTTTCTTTTTCTTTTTTTTTTTTCTTTCTTTCTTTCTTTCTTTCTTTCTTTCTTTTTCTTTCTTTCTTTCGTTCTCATTCATTTTACTTTCTTTTTCTTTCTTTCTTTCTTTCTTTCTTCCTTTCTTTCTTTCTCATTCATTTTACTTTCTTTTCTTTCTTTCTTTCTTTCTTTCTTTCTTTCTTTCTTTCTTTCTTTCTTTCTTTTCCTTTACCTTTTCTTTCTTATTCTTTTTTTTTCTTTCTTTCTTTCTTTATTTCTTTCTTTCGTTCTTTCTTTCTCATTCATTTTACTTTCTTTTTCTTTCTTTCTTTCTTTCTTATTCTTTTTTCTTTCTTTTCCTTTACCGTTTCTTTCTTTTTCTTTTTTCTTCTTTCTTTCTTCCTTTCTTTCTTTCTCATTCATTTTACTTTCTTTTTCTTTCTTTCTTTCTTTCTTTCTTATTCTTTTTTCTTTCTTTTCCTTTACTTTTTCTTTCTTTTTCTTTTTTCTTCTTTCTTTCTTTCTTTTTATCTTTTTAATTCATTTTACTTTTTTCTTTCCTTTTCTTTGTTTCTTCATTCTTTTCCTTTCCCCTTTCTTTTTTCTCGTTCATTTTTCTTTCTTATTCATTTTCTTTCTTTTCCTTTTCTTTCTTTTTCTTCTTTCTTTCTTTTTCATTCATTTTACTTTCTTTTTTATTTGTTCTTTCTTTCTTTCTTTCTTTTCCTTTCTTTCTTTCTTTCTTTCTTTCTTTCTTTCTTTCTTTCTTTCTTTCTTTCTTTCTTTCTTTCAACTCTGTAAGTTTTTGCCTCATTTTTATACCCGGCTCCCTTCAGAAATTATTCTTTGAACCTATTCCATTAAAAGGCATCCTGCCAATTATTGTACAGACTTATTTTAAATCGTCCTGGTGGGACCAATTTGTTCTGTGATCATTGAACTCCCACAACAGCTATCGATCATTAAGAAACAAACGGAGCGATATTTTATAATGGAACATTTCCGACACCCCAGACCGAAATCAATGACATTAACAATAACTGGATTCACAAATAGGAAACAATGGAATCAAACATTCTCAACTGCAAAACCATAGCCACTTGAATTTAATAAATATGATATGTTATTCTGCTTTCACAATTGAATACATGGTAGACGATGCTCAGCTTTTGTGCATATACACATTTGTGTGGACATAATTACTAGAGGCGGGGATATGTGTGTTTTATGCTGTAGTTTTCTTGAAGTTTTATTTGGAATACAGTTTGATTTTGTTTAGCGGCATATCAATCTCTATGGGTTATTTAATGCCGAAATCTAAATATTTTTAATTCCATTTTATGGTTTCAACTAAATATATTTTGGGACGCAGTTGTATACCTATAACTACAGATAAAATATACTTTTGGTCATTTTGCGTTAAATATGTATTTTTGGTCATTTTACTATAAATAAATATTGTTGGTAATTTTACTATAAATAGGTATTGTTGGTTGGTTGATTTTATTTAGCGGCATATGGGTTATTAATGCTGAAATCTAAATAATTTGAACACAATTTTATGGCTTCAACTAAATATGTACCATAGAGAGGCATTGTTGGTAATTTTAATATAAATACGTAGCGTTGGTAAGTTTTTAAAATATAAAAATGTATAACTTGTATTTTTATACTTTCGTAGATTTGTTTTTGTTTGTGGGGTCATTATTTGCCTATAGTTGGGACCCCCTAACAGGTGCTATTAATCCGGGTCTGTGGGAAGAACAGAAATTAATAGGTGATTCCACGCTCCTCAAAACCTCCAATCTCCCGATCAGAGGCCCGGTTGCCGGATGTAGTTTATCGTCACAGATCATTTAGGCGATGTCATGTATGAAAGATGAAGTTAATCTAATATCACTACAGATTCAGTTATTTAGAAAATCAGAAGAGACGAAAGCAAACTGTATTACATACAAAAAATCTATCAGGTTGAGTCATAAAATCATTTAGCTTGAATCATAAAATCTATCAGGTTGAGTCATAAAATCATTTAGCTTGCGTCATAAAATCTATCAGGTTGAGTCATAAAATCATTTAGCTTGCGTCATAAAATCTATCAGGTTGAGCCATAAAATCATTTAGCTTGCGTCATAAAATCTATCAGGTTGAGACATAAAATCATTTAGCTTGCGTCATAAAATCTATCAGGTTGAGTCATAAAATCATTTAGCTTGCGTCATAAAATCTATTCGGTTGGGTCATAAAATCATTTAGCTTGCTTCATAAAATCTATCAGGTTGAGTCAAAAAATGATTTTGCTTGCGTCATAAAATCTATGAGGTTGGGTCATAAATAATTTTCTTTTTTTTGTTTATCAACTTCAGCCTTAAAAAGATTACAATTGCATTTTATTCAATTATATATTCGCCATTATTCTTTTCAATGATTTGCTGCCATTTATCAGGCCGCTCGACGTTATCTTTAGAGTAAAATTCCGCAGGTTTTGATTCGAAGAGAGTTTTGACAAAATCATGAATGTGGTTTTCGTTAAAGAAACTTATATTTAATCGTTTCTCCCCCAAGCAAGTCGCAGGGGGTTACAGGAAGTGAAAGAGGATGAGAAGTCTTTGGTGAGGAAAAGACAACAAAGGGACAGACTTTAGGAATATGGTTGCCTCCCTGTGTCTTTTCTATAAAGACTTTCATGGTAATTATTCGTATGAGCTCTTCGCTATGGTACCTAGAGTTTTTGAATTTAAGCACAGTACTAGACTAACGTCGAGATCTCCTCAACTTACAGTTGAGCTGGATAGATGTAGCCTTATTCTACGCTAACAGTTTCTTTTCTCGCACTTCTCGCTTGGGGAACTCTTTCCCGGTTCCATGTTTTCCAGCCAATTTTAATCTGTAAGAATTTAAATGCAACGTTAATCTCTATCTACTGTCCCCCCGATTAATCTCCTATTGCACTAGTCCATTAGTTTCTAATTCTTCCACGCCCAGTAACCACCTTGTATCTTAGTGGTTTTACTGCCTTGCTTGAGGTGAACACCATTTTTTAAAAATTCTGGCAAAATTTGTACTTATTTTTTGTACCCGTTTTTTTTTGTTTTCGGAAATAAATAAAAACTTCCTTCAAATCGGAAAAAAAGAGTTCTTTTGTATATAGGGTCATTTCGAAAGTAAAGTTTTGTACGCTAAAAATATATTTTTTTAATTTCACGTACTCTTTATATTCCTCTCTTCAAAAAATAATCAATATTTATGAATACACTTCTACTATAGAATGAAATAAATATTTTTTGAGCGGTGTATTGATTTTAGGACGGCAATGTATTCATATATTTGGCAAAATAGTTCCAGTGCTGTTGATTTGCGTCATAAATATTATTTGATTACCAGCGTTTTGATTGTACGATATTCTACTAGACTTAACAAAATCCTGTTATGTTTCCTTTAGAACAAAACATCCTATTAACCCATCAGGGCTGGTTGATTATTCGCGTTTTTCAGAAAATCAACATTGTACACGGTGCGAAAACTGATGTGATAAGTAGTGACATCACAAGTTAAATTCATAGCTTTTACAAATTTATGAGCATTTAGTTTTATGATCATCTGAAAAAAATGCAGAAATATCTCATTTCTGTAGGTTTTTGCTTACAAACTGACTTCAAAATTTTACTGTTTCAAGATTAAATTCAAATGAGATTTTTTGCATTAGATACATTGGACGGAAAATATATTCAAAACAGAATTTTAATTATGGATTACCGCAAGCAAAATATGCAATTTTTTTTACTGTATTCGATAAGTGAAAACTGTACAATTTGTAAAAGTTTACAAAAAAGGCTAATCAATGAATAAAATCTTACACCATTTGTAAGGTAATAAGTGATAAAAACAAAAAATAGATAAAAGTGTATATAGCACCATATTAATATATGATTACCAACGTTTTGATTGTGCAATATTCTACTAGAATTAACAAAATCCTGTTATGTTTGCTGTAGAAAAAATTAACATCCATTAGGGCTGGTTGATTATTTGCATTTTTCAGAAAATCAACATTGTACGAGATGTGAAAATTGTGGTTTCATGTGATAAAAGTGTATATAACACCATTATACTTCTGGACGTAAATTCTAGGACAAAATTAAATTTGCATTGTTTTTTGAAAATTGTACTAAAACTACTGCATCAAAATATAACTGAATTGTTCAGGAAAATTTCCGTTTGAAGTGAATGAAGGTCTTATTTAACTGTACAATGATTTAGTAATAATGTGCTTCTGCTTTGCTTCTTGTACTATAAAGATTGTGAAGCTTCAGTTGTTAATTTAACTGCTCTTTCTACATTTTGTGAATGTGCAGGTAAATTCGGTAACTCCAGCGTTGTTCCATTCATCAAGAACCTTTTGCAGTTCATTATTTGAAAAGCGTTTTGCAAGCGTAAGTTCACAAACTAAATTTCGTGAGAGGTTAATCAAATATGACCAGTTGGTTGCTTCAGAGTTGATGAGTTTTTTTAAATCTCTTTTTTGCTGGCTTACGACTTCTGAAACAACAAAAAAAAAATACTTTTATTATAAAATTTACCCATATTTGATTATATTTTTGTTATGTAATTTGAATGAAATTTTAAAATAAGTCTTATAAATTGACATAATTAATTATGAATAAATGTTTGCTTATCTAATGGAAAAATTTTATAGCCTTTTCCCTCGTCTCCATTTCATTTGACTTCAACATTGAGAAGATATTTTCTGGAAACCAGGAGAAAGCTTCGTGCTGTAAATTTTTTAATACAACATTCTGTATTTTAGTCGATTGTTGCTTTATTCTGTGGATCATGTTGAAGATATACAGTTGTTGATTAAGGAATTTATTATCACTTTTAATTTCAAACTGACTGCATATATTTCAGTTCTAAATTTTATATGGCTGTGCTATAAGGCTTTCACTGATCATCGGAATTAAATGTCAATGATTCAATTTTGAACTTAAACTTAATCTTTAAAATCGTTTCCTCAAAAATGGTAAGAATTTGGAAAAAAAGGTATTTAGTATCTTTATTTATCATGCCAAACCCCAATATATAGTTTCAGAAGCTTCAGTAGTTAATTTACCTGCTCATTGCGCACCTTGCGAATGTGCAGGTAAATTCAATAACTCAACGTTGTTCCATTCATTAGAACTTCTTGCAGTTCATTATTTGAAAAACCTTCCGCGAACGTGCAGTCTGTTGCTTCAGAATTGATGAATGTAATTCTTTAATCTGACTTGCGACTTCTGAAACAAAAATAAAAAACATTTTATTGGAAAATTTAGCCATACATGGTCATGTTTTTGTAATATAATTTGAATTAAATTTTAAAATAAGTTTTCTAAATTGACATAACTAAGTATGAATAAATGTTTACTTATCTAATAAGCAAAAGTTTTTTATAATCCTTTCCCCCCCTCCAATTCATCTCAGCCCAACATTAAAAAAAGAATATTTTTTTAAAACAAGGTGAAAGTATTGTTTTGTAATTTTTTTAAATACAACATTCTGTATTTCAGTCGACTGCTGCTTTATTCTCTGGACCAAATATTGAAGATAGACAGTTGTTGGTTGCAGAATTTATTATCTCTTTTAATTCCAAACCAATTGCATATATTTCAATTCTAAATTTTATATTTCTATGCTATAAGGCTTTCACTGATCATCGGAATGAAATTCCAATGCTTCAATTTTGAACTTAAACTTAATCTTTAAATTCGTTTTCTCAAAAATGGTAAGAATTTGGAAAAAGGTATTTAGCATCCTTATTTATC